ATGCTCGTCCATCATGCTCTCCACTGTCCCCGAGCCCAAGTGCAGTCCTAATCCACCGAGAATGCCAAACATGACTACAGAGGGAATATGAGTGACCCTAGAAATCCTAGTTTCAGTCGTAACCTGAACATGTCCCTGATGGGTGTTGTCTTGAACCTTGCAACCTGGCTACCAGACAAGTATTACCGTGAATCGGCCACTCTCTTCACGCCATGACAACACAACCCAGACAAGAAGCAGATTAAAGTTCACAGAGTCCCTTATGCCAGAAGTGATGTTTTCATTGCCCAGGATTTGGGAGTTCTTCCTTCCTTGTAGGAAAACAGATTGATACCTAATCAGTCAAAGCCATGAAGCCAACAATAGGTCCCACAATATACATCACAATCGACTTCTCTGGAACTGGACGCTGGAGAAGTTAAACCTTAGGACCTTCTAAGCCTTTCTAAGCAACCACTTCAGACATTTTCTTAGGAAAAAATGAACTACAGAACACAGGGCCAGTTTGAGCAATGCTGCACAAAACTTGACCCCAGAGGGTTCTCAGTCCCAGTCACACGCTCTGTTTGCCCCCGGGGTGGCTGCCAGCTTTCCCAGGGGCATCTCTTGTCATCCCAGATTGGGATCTGCTGGAGCGTCAGTCACAGTTGGTGATGGAGGGTTTAGGGCAGCATCAATGCCACACGCCTTGAGCTCACGGCCAGAGAAAACCGCTGTTTCCACATCCCACTCCAGCCTCTCTTGTGCTAGCAAACCACACCAGGACAGGAAGCAGGAGGAGGAGGAAGAGGGAGACAAAGAGAAATGAAGAGGAAGGGAGAAAGGAAGACAGAAGGGAGAGGAGGGAGAGTGAGGAGTGGCCCCCTCCGCCATCGCCAAGCCACCGAGAAGGTCATAGTTGTGTTCTATGGTTGAAGTGTTAACTGAACACAAATACGCATATAAGTTTTGTACGTGTATAGACATCTTGGCAAGTCAGCCTCTTATTTGGTGATTTGATTCTATGAAACAAAATTACAGAGTAGTTGAGTGACTCAAAGTAAAAATAAGAACAGTATAGCCTTGTACTTTAGAAGTCTGGAATCAATTAATTTAATGAAAAACACAAATCCAAGCCTGCAGTCTCAAGAACAGTTTAGAAGTGTTTTTTAAATTCATTGTAAGGAAGTTTTTTTTTTTTTTAAACCTTTAAAGCAATAAAGGGCAAAGCCTTAAGGACAGATTATAGCAAAAATATCTGATGTAGCATTTGGGGCAATGTTAATTTTAAATTTTAAATACAGTGGATCATAAGGGGCCTGAAAGATGGCTCATCAGTTAAAAGCACCTGCCATCAAGCCTGATGGCCTGAGTTCAATCCCTGGAACCAGCTATAAAGGCCAGATGCAGGCAGAGAGACGGTTTAGCCAGTAATGAAACCTGTCACAGAGCCCAGGGGCCTGAGTTTGATCCCTGGTGCCCACAGAGTGGAAGGAGAGAACCCCCAAAGGTTGTCCTCTGACCCCACATGCACACCCCAGCACAAGTGTATATGTGTGTGCATGCACACGCATGTGAGCATGTGTACACACACACAGTTAAATAAGCAAATAAGTAACAATAGGTACAGAAGTTATCTTTAAAAAGAAAAAGGCAAGCACAAGAGAAGGACAGAGACAGATGCTTTGTGGACTCAAACTCCTTCATAATGTTTCAAGCTTGATGTAACAAACTTCAGGGCAGACCTGGGCACCACCTCTGGAATAAACAGTGTGTTTCCTATGCAACTCAAACAACAGAGAGCATCACAGGATTCTGGGAAGGTGGATACAAACTCCCACTGAGAAAATACAAGAGCAAAAACTCCAGCTTGAATGCCAAAGTCTGTGCCATTGCCTGTCCTCACACTCTGAGCAGACCTAAGGAAGAAGTAGAGGAGGAGGTGTTGTGGAATGTTATTTTAGGATGTGTTACATCTGTTTATGCTGCAGAACATTTGTTTAATGATGCAAAGCTGTGTTGCATTCTTTTATGTCACATTTGTTTAACTGTGAAGCTGTGTTTCTTTGCCTGTCTAAAACACCTGATTGGTCTAATAAAGAGCTGAACAGCCAATAGCGAGGCAGGAGAAAGGATGGGCGGGAATAAATGGGAGGAGAGATCAAGGAGCAAGAAAAGATGGGGCCAACCACCCAGCCACACATCCAGACCCAGAATAAGGAGGAGAAAAAAGATATACAGAAATAAAGAAAGATGAAAGCCCAGAGGCAAAAGATAGATGAGATAATTTAAGAAAAGCTGGCTAGAAACAAGCCAAGCGAAGGCTGGGCATTCATGAAAAAGAATAAGATTCTGTCTCATTTTTTTGGGAGCTGGGCGGTGGGCCCCTCAAAGAGCAAAGAGTGAAAACAACCAACCACAAGGAGGTAGTGAGAGCACAGGACTTATCTGCCTAGCTCTGCCTTGTGAGCCTCTCTCTCCACTCGGAACCACAGACAGGAGCCAACAGAGGCTGACAGCAAACATTCACAGCAGGGACCAGAGTCTGCTAGCGTTCCAGTAGCCCTGACACCCAAAGTAGCGAGCCAGCCTTGTCGTTTTTATACTTCCAGCGAGCTCTAATGGCTTTGGAAGACCTTAGGAGCAGAAGTCCAAACACTCTGTGATAAAAATAAGCAGAAGATAAATCTCATCATGGACGTATAGACTGACTCCAGTCATTTAAAACAGGGAACAAGTGGCACTATTGTTAGCATTCAGGAATTTACACTGGCCTTCTCTCAGGGACCTAGCAGGACATGTCAGCAGCAGCAGCCAAGATGTGACACTGTAGCTACCTCAGCCACCAAGCAGAGCACACTCCTTATGTGCGTGCGCTATATCCCCTTATAAAAGGCAAGCCCTTCCTGGCCCCCTCTTTCCTTCTGCTCTTACTCAGAGGCCACCTCTGCACCTCCCTCCAATAAACCTCCCCTGTGAGCTCTGTTGCATGGTGTGACTTTCGTGCCCTTGGCTCCAGCCCGCCAAGGCTGCCTACCATCGCTAAACTATTACAACTATTATATGCCCTGCCACCAAATGACCAGCTTGCCAGTCAGTCAGCTGTCAGCTTTTTAAGAAGAAAACGTTAAACCTGAGCGTTTCTTAATCTCTCCCAGGGTATAGAAGGATGGCACTTCCTCAGAGCATGGAGGAGCTCATACAGTTTTTGTCACTTCTTGGTTGTGGCACCCCGATTTTGCATCAGGGGATCTGCCCTGCTGGCTCTATCCATGAGGCTCAGATGTGTTTATGCTACTTCTGGCTCCATGGATCTCAGAACTCAGGCTTGACCAAGCAGAGCATCAAAATCCCAAGGCCATGGGACTGATTCCATTAGTGCAAACCTTTGCGGGTGTCCCTTCTGATTTTCCAGAAGAAACAGGGTTGCACAGAGGGGATGAGATAGTTTCAGCCACCAAATGTTTTGCTTCTGCTGAAAGGATGGAGACTAACTGGGAACGGCATGCACTCCAGTGGAATATACACAAAAGTAGTCTACCTGCTACTTACTCCAGGAGTTCACACCTGAGATGCAACTGATGGAGGAGAATGGGGGACAGACGCTACGGATGCTTCCCCATCCTAGACCCATTCATAGACCCGTTCTAAATGCTCGGAAAAGACCCTGGGATAAAACAACGTGGCTGCCTCTACCCTTTCTCCCCCTCTGTTTGTACCAGATATTGCTGGCCTTGTCTTCAATGAGTGCAAATGATGAGGCCATTTAAATGCCTCGGTGGAACAAAGGCCCAAGCCGTCTGTGTTGATTAAGTCCAGTCATTTCCTGACTTACCAGCCTGCTCTTTAAGTAGGCAAAATGTGCTAGTGAGTTTTCTGCTGTTGAGACGAAATGCTCAAGTCAACTTACAAGAAGGGCCGAAAGGTTTATCTGGGCTTTTGGGTTCAGGCCACGATCACGTGACCCTTTTGTGCTGGTCTTGGGGTGCAGCAGTACATCTCCCATTCTCACCTACACCGCACACCCGTCCCTGTGTGGTCCCACAGGGAGTGCTCATACTCCCACTTCTGACAGTGACAGCGCATCTCTGCTCAGGTCACGGCAGAGAGAAATGGTTGGCTTCTCCCTGTTCCTAGCCTCCGGGTGACCTGCCGGGTGACCCAGTAACTAGGCTGAGAAAGGACAGCCATCGAGAGAGGTCCATGGGGAGAACAGGAAGGGTGTGGAACATGGCATGCAGACAGACATATAAGCAAACAGGACAAGAAGTGAGACCAGGATTGCAGGCTCTGTAAGCCAGGCAGAGGAAGAGGGGCAGAGACAGCGTGGAAGAATGTCATCACCTCGGCAGGTCCCTCAGCTTTGCACATCAGTGTACACATGACCCTCACGACAATGTTAAATGGTGGATCAAGTATCGGGAACTGTAATGTCTGTGAGGGAGTGTCCTGATTGTCTTATTGGTGTGTGAAGACCTACCCTAATGTGGGCTGTACCTTTTGGTAGCGGCCTAGATAGAAGGATGTGGGAAAGGGGATGCTTGATTTTTTTTTTTCCTGGCTTGGCCTTCATTCTCTCTGGAAAGTTCATCTACCCGGTTGCTGCTACTACTGGTACTGATACAGGAAGCTGCTTCTTCATGCTTCCAGTGTGGACTAAGGGCCAGTGGCTCTCCAGGAATCCTCCAGGATCTCAGCACCAGATTGGGACTGCTGGGACATCCAGCCTCATGGTGTCCTGTCAGCCCTGACTCCTTCTGTCCACTGGGCGGGTTCCTGAACTCACGATACCACTCTTGAGAGCCAGGACCTGAACCCAGGGAGCTGGGTCAGCCAGCACCTGACTTCCAGAGGGAAAGAAGGCTAGAGAAAAGCAAGAGAAGGATCTCAGAGGACAGAGAAATGTCGCATCCGTACAAAGGCGGGGCAGGCTATGCTGCTCTGCCGGAGAGCTCGCCTGGGCTTCCTTAGGAGTCCAAGCTGGGAGACTGCTGACCAGCATTTCTGTTTCACCCACTTACCTTGGCATATAGGGAACGAATAGGAGCCTGAGCGGCAGGAGGCACACCGGGGACCCTCAACCCCAGGGCGGCACAGGCATCTGCCATGGTCGTCACATATTTCTGGAAGAACACCTTCCAAGTTGCAGTCACACCCTGCAAAGGAGGACACTGTCAGAGAGGCCACTGTGTCCGTGTGGACTTCCTGCTTCCCCTACCAGACTGGTCTGTGGGCAAGCCTGTGGTACATCTTCTTAATTAGTGACTGTGGTGGGAGGGCCCAGTCTACTTCAGGTGCAGGCACCCCAGGCAGGCAGTCTTGGGGTGTGTAAGAAAGCAGCCTGAGCAAGCCAAGGAGCAAGCTAGTCAGCGGCACCCTCCACGACCTCTGCATCAGCTCCTGCCTCCAGGTTCCGGCCCTGACTTCCCTCAGTGCTGGACGGTACCTGGATGTGTGATATAAAATGAACTCTTTCCTCCCCACACTGCTTATGGTCATGGTGTTTTATCACAGTGATAGAAACCCCAGCTAAGACAGCTCTCCATTACACCCAGCCTCTTATGTGGCTATGGGGGTTTGGACGCAGGTCCTCGTATCTTTGAGGAAGACACTTTACTGCCAGTCTAGCTCCTAATTTTTAAGATAAAGAAACAACATATATTCAGTCCTAGAGTGTGTCAAGCTTGGCTTTTGGGGTTTCTGTGGGATTATCTCACACAATCTGCCAGGTGCACAGCCTTCCAGCAACCAGGCTGCTGCCAATACACCAATTAAATACATACCCACCTCAGGACCTTTGTTTAGACCGTAATATCCTATGTCTGGCACATCCCTCCTTATGTCCTGACACAATAGCTTTTCATCTTATTCATGTTTATGAACGCGCCTGCTCCTCAGAAGGCCTCCAGGTCACGGACTTGTCTGTATGAAAAAGCTCCGCCCCCTCCGCGCTCTGTCTGTGTAAACAGGCTCCGCCCCCTCCGCTCTCCTGTCTGTATAAACAGGCTCCGCCCCCTCCGCTCTCTGTCTGTGTAAACAGGCTCCGCCCCCTCCGCTCTCTGTCTGTGTAAACAGGCTCCGCCCCCTCCGCGCTCTGTCTGTATAGACAGGCTCCGCCCCCTCCGCTCTCCTGTCTGTATAAACAGGCTCCGCCCCCTCCGCTCTCTGTCTGTATAAACAGGCTCCGCCCCCTCCGCTCTCTGTCTGTATAAACAGGCTCCGCCCCCTCCGCTCTCTGTCTGTGTAAACAGGCTCCGCCCCCTCCGCTCTCTGTCTGTGTAAACAGGCTCCGCCCCCTCCGCTCTCTGTCTGTGTAAACAGGCTCCGCCCCCTCCGCTCTCTGTCTGTGTAAACAGGCTCCGCCCCCTCCGCTCTCTGTCTGTATAAACAGGCTCCGCCCCCTCCGCTCTCCTGTCTGTGTAAACAGGCTCCGCCCCCTCCGCTCTCTGTCTGTGTAAACAGGCTCCGCCCCCTCCGCTCTCTGTCTGTGTAAACAGGCTCCGCCCCCTCCGCTCTCTGTCTGTATACACAGGCTCCGCCCCCTCCGCTCTCTGTCTGTATAAACAGGCTCCGCCCCCTCCGCTCTCTGTCTGTATAGACAGGCTCCGCCCCCTCTGCTCTCATGTCTGTACAGACAGGCTCCGCCCCCTCCGCTCTCTGTCTGTATAAACAGGCTCCGCCCCCTCCGCTCTCTGTCTGTATAAACAGGCTCCGCCCCCTCCACTCTCCTGTCTGTGTAAACAGGCTCCGCCCCCTCCGCTCTCTGTCTGTGTAAACAGGCTCCGCCCCCTCCGCTCTCTGTCTGTGTAAACAGGCTCCGCCCCCTCCGCTCTCTGTCTGTATAAACAGGCTCCGCCCCCTCCGCTCTCTGTCTGTATAACAGGCTCCGCCCCCTCCGCTCTCTGTCTGTATAAACAGGCTCCGCCCCCTCCGCTCTCCTGTCTGTATAAACAGGCTCCGCCCCCTCCGCTCTCCTGTCTGTATAAACAGGCTCCGCCCCCTCCGCTCTCTGTCTGTATACACAGGCTCCGCCCCCTCCGCTCTCCTGTCTGTATAGACAGGCTCCGCCCCCTCCGCGCTCTGTCTGTATAAACAGGCTCCGCCCCCTCCGCTCTCCTGTCTGTATAAACAGGCTCCGCCCCCTCCGCTCTCTGTCTGTATAAACAGGCTCCGCCCCCTCCGCTCTCTGTCTGTATAAACAGGCTCCGCCCCCTCCGCTCTCCTGTCTGTATAAACAGGCTCCGCCCCCTCCGCTCTCTGTCTGTATAAACAGGCTCCGCCCCCTCCGCTCTCTGTCTGTATAACAGGCTCCGCCCCCTCCGCTCTCTGTCTGTGTAAACAGGCTCCGCCCCCTCCGCTCTCTGTCTGTATAAACAGGCTCCGCCCCCTCCGCTCTCTGTCTGTGTAAACAGGCTCCGCCCCCTCCGCTCTCCTGTCTGTGTAAACAGGCTCCGCCCCCTCCGCTCTCTGTCTGTATACACAGGCTCCGCCCCCTCCGCTCTCCTGTCTGTGTAAACAGGCTCCGCCCGCTCCACTCTCTGTCTGTGTAAACAGGCTCCGCCCCCTCTGCTCTCCTGTCTGTATAAACAGGCTCCGCCCCCTCCGCTCTCTGTATAAACAGGCTCTGCCCCCTCTGCTCTCCTGTCTGTATAGACAGGCTCCGCCCCATCCGCTCTCTGTCTGTGTAAACAGGCTCCGCCCCCTCCGCTCTCTGTCTGTATAAACAGGCTCCGCCCCCTCCGCTCTCTGTCTGTGTAAACAGGCTCCGCCCCCTCCGCTCTCTGTCTGTATAGACAGGCTCCGCCCCCTCCGCTCTCTGTCTGTATAAACAGGCTCCGCCCCCTCCGCTCTCTGTCTGTATAACAGGCTCCGCCCCCTCCGCTCTCTGTCTGTATAAACAGGCTCCGCCCCCTCCGCTCTCCTGTCTGTATAAACAGGCTCCGCCCCCTCCGCTCTCTGTCTGTATAGACAGGCTCCGCCCCCTCCGCTCTCCTGTCTGTATAGACAGGCTCCGCCCCCTCCGCGCTCTGTCTGTATAAACAGGCTCCGCCCCCTCCGCTCTCTGTCTGTATAACAGGCTCCGCCCCCTCCGCTCTCTGTCTGTGTAAACAGGCTCCGCCCCCTCCGCTCTCTGTCTGTATAAACAGGCTCCGCCCCCTCCGCTCTCTGTCTGTGTAAACAGGCTCCCGCCCCCCTCCGCTCTCCTGTCTGTGTAAACAGGCTCCGCCCCCTCCGCTCTCTGTCTGTATACACAGGCTCCGCCCCCTCCGCTCTCCTGTCTGTGTAAACTCTCTGTCTGTGTAAACAGGCTCCGCCCCCTCTGCTCTCCGTCTGTATAAACAGGCTCCGCCCCCTCCGCTCTCTGTATAAACAGGCTCTGCCCCCTCTGCTCTCCTCCGCTCCGCCCCTCCGCTCTCTGTCTGTGTAAACAGGCTCCGCCCCCTCCGCTCTCTGTCTGTATAAACAGGCTCCGCCCCCCTCCGCTCTCTGTCTGTGTAAACAGGCTCCGCCCCCTCCGCTCTCTGTCTGTATACACAGGCTCCGCCCCCTCCGCTCTCCTGTCTGTGTAAACAGGCTCCGCCCCCTCTGCTCTCCTGTCTGTATAAACAGGCTCCGCCCCCTCCGCTCTCTGTATAAACAGGCTCTGCCCCCTCCGCTCTCTGTCTGTATAACAGGCTTCCGCTCCGCCCCCTCCGCTCTCCTGTCTGTATAGACAGGCTCCGCCCCCTCCGCTCTCTGTCTGTATAGACAGGCTCCGCCCCCTCCGCTCTCTGTCTGTATAAACAGGCTCCGCCCCCTCCGCTCTCTGTCTGTATAAACAGGCTCCGCCCCCTCCGCTCTCTGTCTGTATAAACAGGCTCCGCCCCCTCCGCTCTCCTGTCTGTATAAACAGGCTCCGCCCCCTCTCTGTATAAACAGGCTCCGCCCCCTCCGCTCTCCTGTCTGTATAAACAGGCTCCGCCCCCCTCCGCTCTCTGTATAAACAGGCTCTGCCCCCTCCGCTCTCTGTCTGTATAAACAGGCTCCGCCCCCTCCGCTCTCTGTCTGTATAAACAGGCTCCGCCCCCTCCGCTCTCCTGTCTGTATAAACAGGCTCCGCCCCCTCCGCTCTCTGTCTGTGTAAACAGGCTCCGCCCCCTCCGCTCTCCTGTCTGTATAAACAGGCTCCGCCCCCTCCGCTCTCTGTCTGTATAAACAGGCTCCGCCCCCTCCGCTCTCTGTCTGTATAGACAGGCTCCGCCCCCTCCGCTCTCCTGTCTGTATAAACAGGCTCCGCCCCCTCTGCTCTCCTGTCTGTATAAACAGGCTCCGCCCCCTCCGCTCTCCTGTCTGTATAACAGGCTCCGCCCCCTCCGCTCTCTGTCTGTGTAAACAGGCTCCGCCCCCTCCGCTCTCATGTCTGTACAGACAGGCTCCGCCCCCTCCGCTCTCTGTCTGTATAAACAGGCTCCGCCCCCTCCGCTCTCTGTCTGTACAGACAGGCTCCGCCCCCTCTGCTCTCCTGTCTGTATAAACAGGCTCCGCCCCCTCCGCTCTCCTGTCTGTGTAAACAGGCTCCGCCCCCTCCGCTCTCCTGTCTGTATAGACAGGCTCCGCCCCCTCCGCTCTCCTGTCTGTATAAACAGGCTCCGCCCCCTCCGCTCTCCTGTCTGTATAAACAGGCTCCGCCCCCTCTGCTCTCCTGTCTGTGTAAACAGGCTCCGCCCCCTCTGCTCTCCTGTCTGTATAACAGGCTCCGCCCCCTCCGCTCTCCTAGTCTCATCTCAGCTGAGTTCGTCTTCCACTCAGCTTTGAAAGCACTCATCGGGTGATCACAACGAACAGCACTTTGCCCTACGGCTTCTGAGCCAAGGTCGCCACAGGCCTTGTACTTTCTGCTCTCACCCTGTGGACATCCTGAGAACACCACAGAGGAGGAGGGTCACGTGGAGAGACGCCAGCTACCCACACAGACCCCCAGCAAGCCCAGCAGAGCTGCCCGCGGTCTTTAGACTGGAAGTATCTTCTGTTGTTAAACCACTATGCTTGGAGTAATGTTTCATTACATGGAAACAGAGGAGGGAAAACCTGTTAGCTTGGACCCTAGCACCATCTACACAGTACTTCTCAGTAAATAGTATTTCTCAAAAACAAGCTTCTTGTTCGACCCCATTGT